CCCCAAAACCCCAAAACCCCAAAACCCCAAAACCCCTATAATTCTAGAAATATTGAAGTTTATAATTTTATCCATCCGCTTACTCAGAATCTGAGTCTGAATCCATTTCTTCTTCTCTAGGTTTCTCTTCGCTCTCCTTTGCTGGCACTGGGGTAAAGTATGGAATTCTGCCGTGATTCCAGTCTCTCAGAATGAGTTTAGCTGTCTCTTTATTATCAGGGACTCCTCCTCTAGATAATTTTCCTGTCTTCTTCGCAACTGCTGCCAAGAATTGATGTATAGTATTGAAATTAGGGATTCTGTATTCTCTCAAGATTGCCTTCCTGTTGATCCTCATTATCAAAGCTTCGACTGGAGCAACTGGGTCCTCAATATCATCAAGTCTGGCAATATTTCTAAGAATTAAAGACTCAGAGTTATCTTTAGAGAGAACTAATCCTGGTGTATTCAGAAGACGAACCTTTCTGTCTAGATAAATGTCCTTATTCCCTTCTTTAGATTTCGATTTATGCTTCTTAAGAAGCACTCTAACTCACTTAAGACTGTTGATGAATGATTTCTTGCCTACATTTGGATAACCAATAACAGCGACAGTGAGTAAAGATTCTTCCTCCTCTTCATCTGAGGAATCATCTCATCAGTAAGTTTTGAGAATTGTTGCTACTTCTTCAGCTCCAATCGCTCTTGTTGCATTCAAAAGTCTTTCAATTGGCTCCTCTTTATCAGAATTGTCCTTTTTAGATGGTCCTTTAGGAGTATTGCGCTTCTGAATCAGAATGTTTGACTCAAACAAGAATGCTGAATGATCTTTTCTGAGTACCTTAAGCCATCCCTTGGAGTTTTCGTAGGGGACAAGGTCTGATTTAGTCATCATAAGGATCAGCTTTTTATTCTGTTCCAAGACCATGTTCTCAATTTCTAGATTTCTACATCCTTGTGGGTCTCTTGCATCAATAATTTCAATTACAACATCTGCTTGCTCAATAACACTCTTTAGTTCTTTAAGGATTACTTTCTTAGACTGTTTCAATGCTGAATCGCTCAAAGTAAGATCCTTCTTCTCTTCCATTCCTTTGAGTTTATCATCTTGGGTATACCTAAATGAGTCAATGCCATTCTCAAAGACTTGCTTACCTAATGATCTTGCTGTTGACTGTCTCCATATAATCCTCAAGGTCATCTTTTTCTCCATCATTTTTGTTCTGGTAGGCTTCTTGCTGGTCCATCCTCATTTGTTTTCTATCTTGCTTTTCTAATCTCTTTTGTTCAGCTTCTCTTTGCTTCATCATCTCAGCTTCGTCCATCATCTCTTTCTTGAATGGGAACATATTTGGAATTCCTGGCTCTTTAGCTCTAGGCTTGATGGCGCCAGACTTCTTAAGCTTCCTGGCAAGCTTGGATTGCTTCTTCTTGTGACCTCTGATCTTCTTTTGAATGTTGTACCTCCTTCTTAACGATTGCCTCTTGCTCTGCCTTCCGTGAACTTTTACCATAAACGCGATGTTAATTATTCTATTTCGAGTTTCAGAATTGGGGTTTTGGGGTTTTGGGGTTTTGGGGTTTTGGGGTTTTGGGGTTTTGGGG